TCACTTGTAAAACGCTACGAATTAATTCCAACACCTAATATATATTTTTTATACAATATCTAACAATAAGTCTAACACTAATCTAAAAATATCAGTAAATAGATATTTCTACAATTGTATGTTCATGATAAAAATTATAGATGATTTTTGTTCTCGTACTACTTAAAAAAGAATTGAACGCGAGCCAGCTTATTAAATTCAGGTACGGATTAAATTAACTCACCGTCGAAGAGCTTGCTACCTTTCGTTAGTTGAACAACTTTATCTTTATTTGTTTTGAGATCGAGATACCACGTTGCTTCGAATTACCGTGCGGAACAACAATGAACAAAGCGTATAACTTTCAGATAACTTTGTCGGCCTGCGTTCGAACGTAATCCACTTGCGAGGCTCCGTAGAAATCTTAGGAGAAGTCAAGTTAACGAAGTTTACAGGGAGTTGAGCATTATTTGGCACGGCATCTACTGTCGCAGTTATCCGCGTTTCGATTTGTCCGTAATGTTTGCACCTTTGATGCGCTGACGTTGTCGTTGGATTAAGATGATGCTTCATGGCAAACGCGAATTAATTACATAGTAATCTTATGTTGACGTTTAATATATAGTTTTCTTTATTATGGATTGCTCGTAACGCGATTATTATGAATATTACGAATACATTTGTATTGAAGACTTGCTAAATGAAAAAAAAGACGATTGTCAAATAGTTTTACTTAGAATATATTTTATTACACTTAAGGGCATTGTTTTCTTCCCTTACTATAATAGATATATACTAAACTTGCATAATAGATTTAGTATATATACTAAAAATTCGCATACTAGACATGCTTATACATAAATTAACAAAAATAAATGCATTAATTTTTTTACATTTTTGATAAGTTAATATCTTTTTATTATTATCTTTTTATAAGTACATTATATGATTATTTTTAGCTTAATTTAATGATTGAAATTTAATATTTCTAGCTATTTTATTGTATTTTAAGAATACCGTGACTAGATTTATATAACTACTTGTCAGAATATAATAGTGGTCCATAAGTATCGTCGAAAGGAATGAAAGAAAATTACGAGAGAGAAAAATAATCTGTTTATCTAAATCTTCTAAATTTTATTTCTGCTACTTTTACCGAGGAACGTTCCGCAATATCGATCCAGTTTCTAATTAGCAAACAAACGAAATACGTTTTTATCGAACAAGCTAACGAATGAATAAGGAATATTAAAATATATGGATTTTCCATTAGAACACCGTTTTATTAGATAATAGGAACAACGAAGTAATTTTTTTTATTTTTACGTCAAAATTAACCTTTGAAAGATGCTCGTGTTTTATTTATAAACTTGAGATGAAAGGCAATTTTTAGAACTTTACAGTTTATTAATGAACTAATTGTGAAAGACAGAGAAAGGAGCAACTTTGTGAGCCATCAGAATTTTACTTAGTCTTCCACTGATACCGTGAATCTCGATAGTCTCGTAGACAATGCGTTCTTGGCAACTTTGTGACTCCCCAGTGAATATGCGCTCGTCAGTTTTGCATGTATATGACTAGCTGCATAATCTATACTAGCTAGCGCAACATGTACTTGTATGTTTGCTATGGCGGAGGTCGTTGGCAGACTCAGGTGTGCCGATAACTCATTTCAGGGAGAAGGGAGGATGTCTTGATACTGTATATATTTTTTTCCAATAGAACTCCCACAGTTGTATCTGTGCGAAGGTCGTCGTTCGCGTTTCACATTACGGTTATTCTAAAAGATTTATTTATGAGAACATTAAATCGCAGTTATTGAATTCTGAGTTTCGAAATGAAAATACTGTTTCATATCTTGGCGCGATGATTTATCGTAAACGCGTTTAATATATAATGTCGTTTATTTATAGTTTTTTAGTTTAGATGAACAATCAAAGATAATAAAAAATTAAAAAAGAGCATACGCGTCTATTGCATTAAAAGCTTAACAACTTTTTTTAACCATGTTCGATCAACGTAATTTTGCAGTAAATATTTTTTTACTTTAACGTGATTTTCTTTATTTCTGCAAAATCTGTTCAGCCAGGAACACATTAGCCTTTTTTAGTGTATGTGACAACGTATTGTATCTTTTTTATTTTCTTTCTAATAGAAGTTTATCTAAATGTATTTTTTGTGTTATAAATGATCAACATGAATTTTTAATTATATAGATATGATTTAAACAATCTTTTAATTATGTGTAATTGTTAAATTTGGATAAATTTATAATGATATTAAAGCTTCTCTGTTACTAAATAAGTTATTGGCTAATATTAATGTTAAATAATGAAATATTAAAAATTATTTTCAAATGATTTGAAATATTAACGCGTGAAGTAAGTAGAATGCCAATAATTTATTATAGAAAGTTACTTTTAATATTTCGCTTATCAGTTTTAATATTTTTTTTATTGACAGATTAAATAACAGATTAATGTAATCGAGATTGAGAAAGAATTAATTTAAAAACTGCGCTGATATATATTCAATGAATTGTAATGGATGGAATTATAGAATTATTGGATCAAGCATCAACACACACCTTGAAATTTTTTTCGGTTAATCTCAGTACTTATAATTTGCGTGCAGGCAGAAAAATATACGTTGCCGGATATAATAAGGGCGGCTACGAAGTGCAGGTCGAAGTGCATAGGGGTCGATGAGAGTGAATTGCTCTCATAATAAGTCGTTGAAAGTCATTGAAGTAATGCTCCTCTCTGTCTTTCACACGACGTTCTTTAGCGAATGGGGTGATAAAGCTAAGTCTTTTGAAAGTCGATGTACGTGCACATTTAAAATCCATTTTTTAACCCTTTGTTCGTTGCACCTCCTCCAAGTTATGTGTGATGCTTATTTTTGTCTAGATTATTGGAATCTTACTTGGTTTATAAGTACGTCGCGTGTCGTTTAATATATTTGAATAATGGATGAAATGCGGCGTGTTAAACGGAACAGTTAGAACTTTGGGAATAGTGGAAACTATTAATACAGTAAACACATGAATATGTAAGATCTGCGAATCCTTTACGATGCAAATTGTCTTCACGGCTTCACCGTGAGCAAATTCACTGTAATTTGTTACAGTTCTATCACTTACAAGGGAAAGGAAAAAACGTCTTTTTATTTTAACATTTGCTCGGAATAATATATCGTATAAAATATTAAGTGAATAATCTTAAACCAAATTTTTTATAAAGTATAAATATGAATTTTTTAATCTTTTTAATGATTTTTATCTTTATTTTCTTTTTGGATAATTGTCTAAATATCGAGTACATTGTGTTAGATAATGTTATAAATGTTATAGATAATTGTTTTCTAAGTAATATTTAATAATTAAGTTTTAATATGTAATAATTACAGTTTTGGTCATTAATATAGATTTTATTATTTTATTATACTGGATTAATTATTGTTATAAATTTTGAAGAATAAAATCCATGATTTATCAAAGGTAATTAGTAAAACTTTTAGGATTTCAGAAATATAGAAAAATCGTATTTTATTTTAAAATTAATGATATTTTGCAAGGTTCGTATTTCACATGATATTTTTCATTTACCATGTTAAAAATCTATACGATGCTAAATAATTTTGTTATTAAAGGAATACTTTTACATATTAAAATCCTTTGAAATATATCCTCTAACGCGCAATTTGATATTTGAAATAAATATTTTAATTGAAAATATTTATTGTACAAACGCAATGTTTTTATCAAAATTAGGATTACTTTTTATATCAATTGTGCTATTTATCTTGTTTATTTATCTCTGTTCCTAATTTCTTTTTATTAAAACAATATCCATATTAATATCCATAATATGTGCTTTGGAAATGCATTAACAGAAGCATTATGGGTTTCTTTAATAAAGGAGTATATTTCTATCAGAACTGTTGTTATTTTAGTTTCCGTGCTGTTTGGCGACATGCGCTCACGAAACATCGTACATATAAGGTGCATTCTTAAAGGTACACGAACATGATGTTCACGCGTGAAAATTTTGTTGTTGCGGATATTGAATCGTTGCCAGTGTTTTTCATCTGCTTTATCCAGCTGTGTTCTCTAACTTGCCATTACAATTTGGATTGTTTCCAATTGATACCTCGCATACGGCGAATTTCTACATAGCCTTTTTGTTTTCAAGGAATGTTATACGGAAAGGTTGAGAAGAAGAGTATAATAGGATAATATTTAAAGTGACATGAAAAGAAAATATTTGAGTGCTACCATTTGTGATATTTCTCACTTAACATTTCATATAATTTTTGAGTGAGGTGTTGACTTAGTTCATATATGTAATGTGTTAAGGAAGAAGTATCGCGTATATGAATAGCACTAATATTTTATTATGTTAATGCCTTCCACCGCTTAGCCATTCGATGCACTTTGATAATTCGATGCTTTTAAGGTGCAAAAATATCTCCGTATTAAAATAATTTGCAAATTTTATTTTTGTCTGTTAGAAGCAATTTAGAAAACTTAAACATACAGTATGCTTTTAAAAATATTAATTTATTCGTGTCGAGTTATACGTCCTTTTTTATACAAGAAAGAGGTGTATATGGCAGAATTTTATTTCAAAATTGGAGTCAGCACTATGAAATCTTTTAAATATATATATTTCTAGCACACACAATTTAAAAAAATTTTTGTAACAGTATGATTAATCTATAAACTAGAATAAAATAATATGATACGAATTTGGATCGATGAGAATAAATCTAATTAAATAAGAGAATTCCTATATTTGGAGAATCCTATATTCCTATATTCAAAGCGAATTTTGATGCTTAAATATTTCTGTGTGAATTTAAATACATATCTTATTCTGTGATATTGCTTAAAGTTGCTCGCGCGATTTCGGTGTCACAAATACTTGCTATTTCGTTTTTCATGCAATTAAGAAAGCAATAGTTACATGTAAATGTAACAATAACATACATTCATCACATCGTTTGCCTTAATGTTGTAGTTACCAAGTTGAGGGAGCATTGGGATGAGACGAATTCGAAAGTCATGCAAAGGAAGACGCAGTTGGACATGATGTTGGGAGACAGTCAACGATATGAGGCAAAGAGAAACGAGGTGGAGGTCTGGCTAGCACGAATGGAAACTAGACTTGAGAGAATGCGAGCTGTGGGACACACCGCTGACGTACTCGAGGCGCAGCTCAGGGAACAAAAGGTACATCGAACTCTCTTTCCGTATTTTCGCAAGTAACCATTGTTAGCTCTTCGAGTCGGTGAATTTTTAGTGTCATAAGAAGTGTTTTTAACGAAAGAGTAAAAAAGGCAAAAGGAAGGCTCGTGCGATAATACCTCTGTCTATTTGACTTGTCTTCAATATCGAAAATATTGATCTTTGAACGCAAAGTATTTAACGGAGATTGGGGAATTGATGCAATCTATTAATAGAAATGATTGAAGTGCCAATAGATACTGAGTATTTGATTGAATTGTACTGAAATACCGTTGTATTGGAAATTGCTATAAGATAGTCCATTTTGAACAATATTACTTATAAACAATTTCCTGCGCTTAATCGTGTTGTAGTACAAATAAAAATTGCAATTTTATTTTTATGAAGATATTCTATCTTTACGCGACATAGCTTATTTTTATGGCAAGACGTTTCGACAGCGCATTTTTCATTTTGTATACCGGAAATATACTGATATTGAGATATATATTTGCTGACCAATATCATTTTGTTGCACGATATTAGAAAATCTTATGAAACTAAATCCTTCTTTTTGAAATAACGTTAGACAATTTTTGCAGGTGTTTGTTGTATTATGGATTTTTATTATGTGATTAATATTTATCGCAAATAATGTAGAAGCATTTAAAACATGTAAAATTCTTTTATATTATTATGTAATATTATGTAACCTATGCGAGCATTGAAGGTATATCAGACGTTGGCGAGTACAAATATTTTTTAAAGCTACTATCTTTTCTCATTTTTAAGCAAAATTAAAGAGAGCGAACATTTTGGAATTCATCTATCTGGTAATAAATCCTTTCTAGTAATCTCGATTATTTTACGTACGAGATCTGAAAAAAAAAGTTATAAAAAAAGCGTCTCAATCAATGAGATCGCAGCCAAAGAAGTACATTACGCGTGAGGAGATCTGTTTAGATTCAAAAGAACCAAATGAGATATTCATGGAATAATTTATTTCCGCGGTACCTTCATGTCGTCTTTGAGTGAATGCGTTTGCTACACTTCTTCCGAATCTCATATCTTCTGAAATATATTCCGAAATAAAATCCATATGAAATAGTTCAACATAATTATTTCATTGTTCTCGAGAGATAAAGTAATTGCCTTTAATATTCTATTTATTCTCTATAACTTTTATAACAATTTTGTTTTCACGAGCATTTCTTTCAATCTTTGCGTGCGTTTTTATCTGTAAAAAAAAAGATTGTTTATACGGAGATTTTATCTTGATGCACTTTGCAATTCTGATCGGGACCAATCTGTGCCGACGGATATCCACAGAAAAGTTGCATGGTATATCGGTGTAAAACTTTTAGTCGAAGCTCTCTTCGAAGGTTTAACTTTGCCGACTTATCGAGGCTCGAGTGCAAAAGAGGCACGGCTTCTTCTAACTCAATACGAAGCCAGAGTTAGATAAGTTTCCTCTTTTCGCCCGCTGGCCCACCTTCTTCGATTTCACGATCTCGTTCCCTTTCTTTTCTTCACAGTCGTTTCACGCCGAGCTGCATCAGTACAAACATCACATCGAACTTTTTAATCAGCTCACTCAGAAGCTGATAGCGGTTTATCAGCAAGACGATACGACACGAGTGAAGAAAATGACAGAAACGATCAACCAGAGATACAACAATCTCAATACGAGGTGAGTAACAGTATACAATTTCTTTGCTGTGAAAATTTTGGGCAATCTCTTAAAGTATCTTCGATTTAGTCTTTATTGACTTGAACTTATAAGATAAATTGAGTGGAATCAATTAAAATTTTTAATTATATAATTAGATTGTTAATTGAATTTCGATTCAAAATGAATTTAAGTTGAATATAATGAATTTAATATGACTAATGAATTTAATACGAATATGAACTAGTATACATTTTTATAATATTCATTTTTGTAATAAATATGTTCTAAATCTAAGTGAAAAAATAAGTAAGCAGACAACAATTTTTTTCTTAGATTAATTTCAACAAATTTTTAATCCGTATCTCTCTCTCTCTCTCTCTCTCTCTCTCTCTCTCTTATTTATTAAAATATTTGATATCTAAAAATTCTAAAATCGCAAGAAATAATAGTGAATAATAAATAAATAAATAAAATTTTCATTAATAGAAGATTAATTTTCCGATTTTGATAATTATGAAATCGTAATCAGGAGAAATGCATCTTTTAGGATAACTTAGATATAGAGCAAGTACGGCGCGTTTACTCTTGGACTTGTATTCACATAGTGTTTCGAGTTAAGGAACTTTGCTTCGAATCAAACTGTAGATCACGGATGTAATACTGTATCGACCGATCCGTTTCCAGCATCATCAATCGCGGAAAACTACTGCACTCCGCGATGAACTCGCTCCACAACTTCGACCGGTCTCTAGACAAGTTCTTGGCCTGGTTGAGTGAAGCGGAGTCTTCGATGGAGGGATTGGAAGCGGAAGCCGATCGACTGGGTGGACGACGAGACCAGGGTGCGCTCAGACGACCGCAACACCAGCTTAAGGTAAGATTGTCACGTTCACACAAATTTCACGACAAGTTTCGACACGGGGTATTCTGGTATAACGTAAGTGTTCTAACTTGATGCAGCCATATGTTCAATATTGTGAGACGAAAGATTGCTCATTTTTTAAATTGCTCGAAATGGACATATTTCGAAAAAAATAAGAAGGGAAACGATATATTTTTCTTTATTTAATTTTTTTATCTTTTTTTATGATTGAAATATATGTATATTTCAATCATAAAAAACTATACATATATAGATTTGTTTTCTTTATGATTTATGCACATGATAGAAAAAATATTATGTATTTAAATATTTATTTACAAGCATTGTAATTGATAGATTTGTTGCAATTTCGATGACCGAGCAATTATATGATCAAACGCGTTCTAAGAGGATCTTTATTAGCGTTGTAAAAGGAAATCTAGAATAAAATAAATAACTACTAATAGTTTTTTAAATTGACTCTCACGTTTAAAAATGTTATGGAATTTTAGCATTTATCATATTTAAATAGTTTAAAAAATGTCTTATTTAAAAAATTGGTGCAAAACCAGGGTATACGAAAACTTGTGAATGCAATTGCATTGCAAAGTAAATAAAAACTCATATTAACAAAATAATATTCAAATAGATCTTTGATATTTAATTTATATGTTGTTTTGTTCGTATCAACAAAATTTGACTAAGTTTTACATTTTAACAAAAAGAAAAAAGAAAAGAGATTTTGTTAAAACAATTAAGTAAAATATTTAGACAATATATGATATTTAAATATTTCATAAATATAATTTTATGGATATTTATATCTAATATATTATAAATATTGTATTATTTTTTATATTATTTGATGATACTGCGATGTTTATTTATTATGCAGTTTAAATCTATTTTTTGATGTTTTAAATTTTATTATAGATCACAATATATGTGGCATATCCGCACGATTTTGTTAAAGCATTTAAAATTTTAGCTGGGTACAGATTTGAAATTAAACTTTGTTGGACCATCAAAATAATGGATGCTTAAGCTGGTTGCTAGACTGTCCAAACTTTTTGCAGCATTGCTCATCATGTTTGAGTTTTGCTACGTAATTATTTTGATGAGTTGGTAAAATTATTTTCAGATTTGTATATCTATCTAAATTTTCAAATACTTTAACAAAATCATTGTTATCGTGTATGCAAATTTATACAAATTGATACGAAAAAAATGTAGCATAAAAATGTTTTGCCAAGCAGAACATCCAATTTTTTATTATGCGTGAATTTCTCACTCGAATAAAAGTGAGATATAATTCGATTGACGTGATAGTATCCGTCACGTTGATCTCTGATCTCTCTACGTTGTGCATCTTCTATACGGCCAGTTTTGGAGTTTCGACCGATTGTTACAAAAGCGTATCGAAAGTGTCTGCCAGAGTATCGATGTACCCATTAAAAAGAAGAAACTTGGTATTGAGTATCGATATAATGTGGTGACCGGCCATTGGTCTTTTCGCGGAATGTGTTTTCCGCTTTATATACGATTTCCAGAGCGTGAAGATTTAAATTTTCGTACGCCACACGCCTGCACGCGGTTGTTTTTCGTCGCGTTGACGCATCCGGTAAATTTCTCGCCGCAACTAACAGCCATTGCATTCACGTGCTGTGATTTAGTTACCCTGTAATTTTGCATTTGAATCGGTTGCTTTTCACACGACACACGATGTTTTTTACCGGCACGTTACCGATTTTTTTTACCATTGAACATTTCATTAATTTGCAAGTGATCATTCCCTTCGTTCATCATGGTAAACATAAAGCAGTGATATATGATGCTTGTAGAAGATAGAAAATAAATTTTTCACGATTGCTGTATTTATTAAAGTGAAAAAAAATTGGAAAAAATTTGATATATTTTTATTATTATTCTTTATGTGATACGAATTTTTATGTAAATATAAAACACGATCAAAAAGATCGAATGTAAACTTTGCTATTTATAAACGATAGATCGTGCGGTAATAGAAATCGAATTAGATACACAAATAGATATACAAAAATTAGATATAGAAAATGAGTAATAATAATTATCGAACATTGAATATATTTTAATGAGACTGCGTAATTAGGCACATGCTGCATGTGGGAGAGAATTGCTTGCAAAATTGATACTGATGTATTGTACTCGGATTCAAACTGATGTTATACTATACGCGGCCAATATAATATTTCTGCTTGTACTTCTATAGTTATGAAATTTGCCATTTTTATTATTGAATTTTAGTATTGAATTATAAGTACTCGCGTAAATGTGACTGAGGCATCCGCGAGGATCATTATATTGTAATACTTTTCCATAATTATTGACAGATCCGTTCCCGTTTACAATCTTCTTACGTTCTATTTGCTCGTCGAGACAGCACTAATTATTGACAGAAACAAGCACGATTACCGTTGGTGAGCTAGACTTTGATCGATTGCGTGTAATATTTAAGAGCAAACGATCCACCATCGAGTAAGGAGCTTATTGTGTTAGTTTCTTGCATTTTAAAGGGAAACGCCGGCGAAAGATCAGTATTTCAAAGTGAAGAAAATTTAATGCTAAATTTATTACTAAAGTCTATTATTTTTACTGTAAGCTATTTATTGGTTAATTTTTTGTTTGATTTGACTATTCAATTTTTAAATTTTGATCATATTCTTTTGGGAAAATTGAGTTTTCAGTAAATTATTGGAAAAATTATTAGTATTACTTTAGTATATGATGCATATTGCACTTTATTGAAATATCTATGCATTTCGTTTTATCGAGAAATATTACATTTTTAAGAGTATTACATCACATGTACTATTATCAAACAAATTTTTCGTAAAATTTAATTTAGATAATCTCTTTTAAATTTTAAAGCAATTTAGCAAAAATGCTTCATTTTATTGCGAAAATTAAATTTACTAATGATATCTACAAGTATTATATTATTATATATATCTATTATTGGTATGTATTATATATAATTAAAATCCGGTATCACATTTAGGGCATGTCGCTTTAGAATTATTCAGAGTGATTCAGAACATGGATATTGAGATCTTTTCATATTAATTGTTAAAATTAGGGTTCGCGAATATTCAGCTATTTTCTACAAAAAAAAAAATGCTTGAATAATCTATTAATCACTAGTCAATAGGGAATCTGCAATGCATTATTACAATAATTGATTGCTAATAACAGAATTACTCTGTATTGCTAGTAAACGATTAATAATTATTCTTTTTGTTAATTTTTAATCATACTTAATAATACATAATGCACAATTTATAATGTTCAATATTGAGTATTAGAAAATTTAATGGTAATTAATGAATATTACAAGATCATGAGATATGAAAGAATTATTTTTTTGTATGTTATATTAATCGGCAATCCTTCTTGAATTATATATTTTTTGTTTGGTTTTTCAAATGATGAATATTGTACCATTTGATGTACACATATATCCAATAAATGACAGAAGCATAATTTATAAACTGTAATTATTAGCAATGTGGAAATAGCGGTTATTTGATAAATCGTATAATAACTGATTGGAATTTATTATTCGATCTGTCATATCCATCAGTAGTTAGTTACAGTATTGTATAATATCCTGCTGTTCGATAGCTCATGCGATAACATGAATATCCAAAAGTAATCAACCATATTATTTGCTTTGCAATGCAGTTATCTTTACAAATATTCATATTGTATTTTTTTTTAAACTGTATAATAATTTTTTTTAAACTGTAGTACTTTTTTTAAATATGATGAACGCTAAAGTTACGTGTTAGAAACAATTACGAGCTGGCAATTATTATCTCGAGCTTATATTTTTATTTACTGTACACGCGAGTTGATGTTCATGCTAATGTTCCCGTATATAGAGCAGAATATCGCGAAAAAACTTGTTATCACCTCTTGTTTCAATGAGTCGCGTAACGTTGAAACTTTTTTCCTGGTACATCGCGTTTTCATGTGGGAACCATGCTGGTCGTACCATCTGGCACTCGAGACTAATTAACTCCAGGGAGCGTGCCCATTTTAGTCTCGCTAAACTCTTTGTACCTCGTTGACACAATTTCGGAGTTATTTGTATCTATAGCAGTAATTTATTTCGAGTCCATTTCGCCGTTTATGGAACTCAAGATTTAAAGATGGATATTAAATCGAGCCGAAGTGAAACAGTTCTCTACAGCTCTTACTCGGTCGTTTATTTATATACGACGATAAATATGGAAATTGAGCGGTGGATAAGTAGAACGCTTTTTCTCCCTTTTGATTGTAAAGCTATTTTCATTGTTTTGTACGTTCGTTGCTTTCGCAGCAAATAAATTAGAAACGAACATCAAATGCCGTTTGCAATTTCTGCGAGAGCTAACGAGCTTTAACTAAAAGCAGTAATATACATTTGAATTCACGACAGAAGGAATCATAGAGTTTGCTGAGGAAACCAAGATTCATTGAACTTATTTATATGTAATGTTGATTTTAATATTTTTATTGGTAATGGTCGCAGTACAACTTTGAAATATACTGTTGAGATATGTTTAAAAATCTTATACGTTATACTTTTAGTCGCTTGGATTTGTTCTGATATTTGAATAAGTCAAAATAATTTTCCTCTCAATTCCGCATATCCACGGTTAAATATACTACAATACAATATTCTGAGGAATAATACATAAGGTCTGTCAATGTACCGCGCACATATTTGCGGCCAAACTATTGAACTGCCGATATTTCTTGAATATAGTCGCTATTAGTTTCGCAACGACGCTGTTCTGTATCATAGTTTACAAATGCGATTTAACTAATGAATTATCGACCAATGCCTCGGTCGGACGTAACTTATGTATGTACCACTTGCCCATATCTACTTCGTGTCTTTCGACAGTGCATAGAATTTCTAGTATTATTGTCGAAAGCACGTTTATTCTCTCTATTTAAGCCACACTTTGTTGGCTCCAGCTGCGACTTTACGTCGATCTTACGTCGTTCGACGAAATTATTTTTGGACTGAATATCCCAGTCTCGAAACATTATCCCGAAACTAATTATTTCTATTTTTACGGCATTATTATATAGGTGTACATTTTATCTAAGATTTTTAGATATGTTTGTGTGAGCAATTATAATCTACGTTTTTAATGATTATCATCTTTGTATGACAATGAGAAGCTTTTTGTAAAAAGCTGCAATTTATTTTATTAAAATATCAAATGTTCACTTCATTTTATTAGAGAGATAAAATATACGCATTTAAGTTTCTTTCAAATTACGAGCCCTTTGACATTGTTCAACATCAAAGAGGTATATCTCGGAACGAGATATTGCACATTCACGATTTATGAATTGCGAGTTACATTCGTTGCTACGCGACGTCTCATGTTTCTAACATTTGCGAAACGCTCGATCAGACTTGCTCTACTGAAATGAGGAGCTTTGCATGAGGTGCTTCAGACTTTTGCACTTCTTTTAACTTTATTTGAGACTTCTCATTGTGCGTCACATCGGAATTCCACTGCTTTTAGGAATCGCTTATATGGAAAATAGAGAGCATCGATCGGCAGAATAACGAGGAGTCGCTTACGTGACCCGGACTTACGTTTCGCCTTTAGATGAACAAAGAGAATACAGCCCTTTCTCATATTCATGGTAAACACGGCACGCTCCGCTTCGTTAGATCAATCCTGCCGTGGCTAATCCGCTTTAATGCAATTTCACGTGGTGGCTCTCTTTTTCTTTATCGTAGAGCCATGTACACTCTATGAGTCGAGTCTCCGCTGTCCCTGCGGTAAATCCGCCTTCGTACTTAGGCGTCATTAATGTTCAGAACCGTGATTTATTGGTGCATTGGCGTTGATTTTCGAGAAAGAAGGAAAACGAGACAGTATTCATATGATAATTAGCCACATTTAGTCAATTGAGATAATTTGAATTAATTATCCGAGCTATATTTTACATGTTTAGACTATGATATTTTTTTTATAAATAATATATTTTGTGTGTTATTGCAAAGATTTTTTTATCTTTATTTACAGCGCATGTACTGTTCAAGTTTAAATCTGATTAATTGTTACATTTGTTCTTTACACTCTAAAATAATTCTACTTTTCTTGAATATATTATAAAAATGTTTATTTCTTCTCGCTTTTGTGCGTTAAATACTTGTAATTGTGCTCATTCGAAATTAATCCGAATTACTGAGGAATGAATACGTTCTTTTTTGTTTAAATGTAATTATACATATTTTACTACTTTAGGATCAACTGTCAAATTTTGGAATTGTAGATTCAACTGTCGGATTTGACTTTTGTTCAAAAGTTACTTTAATGTGATTAATTTTGCATGCGGTATTATTCGATTGGATTCATTTTCTGCGTACTTGACGTATAATAATTGTCAAGGCTGATGACTAAAAGGGTGTTCAATCTTCGTGGTTCAGGTCGCGATTGGCGAAATGGCGGTGCATTGTCGTGGTCCCGAAGGTCATGGAAATACGGAAGAATGAGTAAACCGAGTCAGCCACTTTCCCTTTCTCGCTTCATCGCGCCAAACGCAGCCGAACGATCGATAAAACGCTTCCACCGTCGGACGGTCGAGCGCCGCGACGATAATATTCCCCTTCTAATAGCCATTATTCCATTATATTATGGCGCTTTTCGAGATCCGACGCAACGGGAGCTTTGGCGTTGCATTTTGGTCATGTCGCGAGAGAAATAGTACTCTGGAGAAAATTTACGACGAATTTACATGCGCATGTGCTCGCGGATATGCATGTATGCCGCCACGCCTCCAGACTTTTCCCAGTTAGAATCTCATTCTAAAATATCAGAGACCATGTCCTAAACATTTTCTGGAGTCTTGTGACATTTGCGAAATTAATTCAGCTTTATAAACATGAAACATAAAAGTGGTGTTTCAGCTTAAGACTGTAGATATGTTCTTTTGTGATAAGAATCATAATTTAAATGTGACATTTTTAACTTAACATAAATTTTGAGACTAATAAGCGAAAAGACTACATTTGGTCAAAACGGATTTGAAGGTCTAATAATATTTTTGCGTGAATTTTTGTCCATTTCCAGCTCCAGCAAAATCCATGCTGATTATTTGTTAGTCTTAAAACACAGACTTAAAATTCAAATAATATCACAGTTTGTTTAAACTGAAAATCGTAAAATTAATATTATTAGATATCAAATCTCGCTTTGACCACCTTCTTAAATATTTGTGTTGAACATTTGTCAGTCAGTTTTACTTACTTATTGCTATAAATTTTAAGCTTTTCTATACGTATCGCTCTAAAAATTTGCTTTATTTATATAACGTCATTATAAATCGTTTGAAGCTTTCCCTAATGACCATGTCGTCATTTTGTGCAACCACAATAAAATTATTAAACAACTGACGATAGCTTAGGGGTCGCGTTCACCGGCTTATCCTTTTTTAATGGTTCCGTGCACAAAGCGGCGTTCCTTCTTTTTCAAGGGAGTAGTCTCTCGCAACAGGCTGGTCGGTGCAGCCAAACTACCCCTGCTCAATGAGGAAACATGATCTAAATCATCCGTCGTCACAAAAGATACACGTCGTCGTGTGCTTGCAAGCATGATGAAAATAAAAAGCGAAAGTCGTAGGTTATAGAACTCCGACAATGAGAAAGAGCAGGAAAGAAAGAAAATTACAGTATCGTAAAGGCCGGATGTGTAATAGAAACGAACGTATGAGGGTGAGCTGTTCGTCGGGTTTTTCTATTCAGAGATGAAATTTGTGAATAGAAATTTAATTTTCTTGTTGTTCGATAATATTTCTCCCTATTGTTCAAAAAACGCCAAATTCGTGTGTACAATAAATATTTTTCAATTCAATTTTTCCATTAACTTTTATGAAAATTTTCAGTTTTAGGAAATATTGAAAAACTTTTTGATGAAATATGTCCAAGCAGAGTGATATAACAATTTGACAGTTAATAGTTAAATTTAAAAGTTATATTAAATAATGTTTTTTAAACATCTTTTTGTTCCCTTTTAAATTTTTTAATCAAACTAATTTCGAATTCTTAATTGTTAGAAGTGACGTTATGAGGAATCATTAATATTTTATTATCGCGAATTATTTATGAATCTATTTATATCGTTGATTAATTAAAATAATATTTAATTTCATAGTAATTTATTTAATAAAATTAATTTGTATGTAATATTTAGAAGAAAAATGTATAATCTTTACGTTTTTATTATATTAGCTTTTCTCAATTCCTATAAACAGAACATACGTATCTACTCATCCGCCATGAACCATTCTCACCCCCATATGTAATTTAATAAAATTTGACACAAGGGGTTGTTTCCGATCGAAATGGTACGCGCATGCGCTCTAAGTTCACGTAGATGGCGACACCTTCCCATCCACCCCTGCAGTTCCATGGTCGGTAATGCAGAATGTTCGTCCACCCTAGTTTAGGGGTGCTTCTTGTAACCAGCAAACTACGTTTGTACCGACAGTTGAAATTTCATGACATTTGGCCATATCTCTTACAGCTTAGCTGTTATCGATACGTTACTGAGTGAGAAGTCTTTCCTATGATTTCTTAGAATGCAACCTTAGGTATCTCCAAACTTGCTGTGGTAAATACGACGTATTTATCGTTTGCTGATTGAATCTCGAGCAGTCGGTTTAAATTTGTCTCAAATGTAATGTTTATTGTTATTGTTAGTTTATTGTTAAAGAAATGATAAACTGCAAGCATATTGAAAAATAAATGAAAATGATGAATAAGTCATTTATTGATCTTTATTAAGTAAATTAATTGTTACAAATGATTTTACTTGAATTATCTTTATATTTCCTCTTTTGTAAAATGATAATGTCTTTTGTAAAAATATTTGCACAATTTTTATTACTTGTCAGATATATGTTTAAAACAATAATGTGTTATTTTATGATTATTATAAAATAATGAGCAAATGACAAGATGCACAGAGATTAATTTGTGCAACGATACAACAAAAAATAGGCTTATTATTAAATTATATATGCTAATATCCTTTGTTATTGATTATCAAATAAGTCTTGTAATTTAAAAAAATATAGAACCTTTCTTGTATATCCATTCATTTTCGAAATATAATTTACTTTAATATGTGCACTTTAATATTATTATACTTTCGATTAGCATAAAGCTTTGAGAAATTCGAGTTATCTCTCGTTCTTTCAGTTGTAAGAGAGATAAGGAAACTGCAGCATTCAGGAATCGTTTGATTTAGACAGCATCGCCTAAAAGTCACAATATCATGATATCTTGTTCCATGTAATGGTAAAGTAGTGCAACAGCTTTAATTGTACAGCTATTTCGGTAGCTACCTGTCGTGAACTCATAGTTAGCACAGTATAGGATTCTGGCATTCATCCTTTACAATATTGCTACAAGTTTTTCTTTTTGTGTATTTTTCTGTTTAATTAAAAATGCTGCATTTCGTTCGACGTTTCCATCTGAGCAAAGGTTATTTCACATGACATTGCCGTTGTTCCACGCAGTTCCTTCGCTCCCACGGGATATCTCGTATTGAGCTGATTGTGTTTCCGTTCTTCCAACAACGGATCCATGATTTATTCTGCGGCCGTGTCGCGGAAATCGTGTTACGCTATTGATTCGAGTTATTTCACCTCGTCCCTCGTTAGGCGAATATATGCGAAAGCATCAAGAGATCGCAGCCAATATTCGAGCGGACGCTAAGTTGTCAGTTACGCTACGTTTGCGCCGTACCAACGGCATTAATTTTGACTGGGCAATAATTCTGGGATTTGTGGTATGCTGTCGAATAATGATTGCTGACAACGCCGTTTGCCAGTTCCCAGTTCAGCAATCAGTAGTTTTTCCTGTCGCTTTATCAATATCTATACAATAAATAATAGACGGTCGTTAAATTTCAACACAAAAAGAATAGATCGAACAATTTTTTCAAAATGAGAATGATATTTTTACCTGCAGATTAATTTCAATTAATCAGACATATACATTTTGTTAATTAAATTCTATTCTGTAACACATTTGTTGAATAATCTAGCTATTGTGTCATTGATTATAAAAAAATCTGTTGGGGGATATAAATTTCTTGTATTAATTGAAGAAGGACGTACTTTTTAACGCAATGTTTATTTTATTGTTAAAATATTTAAAGCGTTAACAAACTTATTTTTATTTTGTTATAAATTTAATTTAATGACATAAATGCTTTTAGTCATTAATACATTATTTATTTTTCATTAAATACGCTTTGTTGAAATGCGAGTAGCTTTACTGACTAACTTTCAGATACTCTTAATTAAGGAGGTTGTCAGCAACTGCCTGTGCGTGTTGAAAGTTCTTCTCGTGCATATCTCGTTATGACACCGTCATCATACAGAGATGACGCGCATGGAGTGCATGTGTCACATGAAGAAGAATAGTACATTTGCATGCACGAGAGGAACGTAATTATCTATTAACATAGTGGCATGTACAACGTGAGTTAAAGGTGATCCTCCATTTTTTTTTTCTTTCGCTCTCTGATCTTGTTACATCTCTTTCGTTTCTGCGGAATTCTTTCGGTAGTCAGACAAATCCGATAGTCCATAGTTTCATGTCGCGATATTAGGTTTGTTGCACCCCGAGGAATATACGAGGGTTATCGAGATAACGTTGCGTGCAGATGCTGTTGTCTGGCGGCTTGTACATACCCGAGCAACTTTACAATATCGTCTCGTACTTTCACCGTACAACAGCGTCATGTGTATCCGTATACGATACGCCATCCTTGTAGATACGGTATCAAGTCTCATGTCCGCGACAGAAACCGCTGCCTTTGTACGCCTATGTGTTCTCAATTGAGAGAGAAACTACCACATTAAACAGATAAGAAGCAATTGTTAAAGGGAAAAAAATTAACAGTTGAAGAGCGTTATATTAAACAACTGTAATAAGTTGATTATTAAGTAATTATAGTAACAAACTTATTTTAATAATAGTAACGAGCTAATTTTCGCACACTTTGTAGTGAATGCTTTTAATCTTCGTTTACAATGACTTCGATGTTTCGATATAAAAATTCTTAATTTTTTCAATAATAAATCACTATATTTTTTTCTATAGAAAATTTAGATTATTCTACTGATTTCTTCAAACACAAAAAATAATATTGTACTTTATGATATTCCTTGTTTTATTTATTTTACAGTTTGCGCTTTATAAAAACACAAACTGTAAAATTCGTTCTGTTAGATACTTTATAAACACAGAAAGAATTTTTTAAGAATACTTTGCACAACAATTTAAAACTATTTAAATTTTATAGTTCGTTGGCAGACATATGAAGAAATTTAAAAAACTTGCACACAATGTATTATCAGATAAAAGAGATTTAGAAAATTCAAGTCAAGCGGAATCTAGTATGATCGCACAAGATAGGTAAAATCTTCTTTTGGGCGCAAAAGCAGGTCAACCTTGTTCCTTTGAAGAGTAGACATCTTGAA